TGTTTGAGTGTTGATGCAGTGATGTCAGTGTGCTTCAGAGTTTATGTAGTGATGTCAGTATGTTTGAGTGTTGATGCAGTGATGTCAGTGTGTTTCAGTGTTGATGTAGTGATGTAAGTGTTTCAGTGTTGATGAAGTGATGGAGTCAGGTTTCTTTCAGTGTTGTAGTGATGTCAGTGCTCCACTGTTGATGTAGTGATGTCAGTGTGTTTCCGTGATGATGCAGTGATGTCAGTGTGATGCTAGTGTGTTTCAGTGTTGTAGTGATGTCAGTGTTTCAGTGTTGATATAGTGATGTCAAAGTGTTTCAGTGTCGATATAGGGATGTCAAAGTGTGTTTCAGTGTTGTAGTGATGTCAGTGTGTTTCAGTGTTGACGTAGTGATGTCAGGTGTGTTTCAGTGTTGATGTAGTGATGCTAGTGTGTTTCAGTGTTGTAATTGATGTCAGTGTTTCAGTGTTGATATAGTGATGTCAAAGTGTTTCAGTGTTTATATAGGGATGTCAAAGTGTGTTTCAGTGTTGTAGTGATGCCAGTGTGTTTCAGTGTTGATGTAGGGATGTTAGTTTGTTTCAGTGTGGTAGTGATGTCAGTGTTTCAGTGTTGATGTAGTGATGTCAAGCGTATTTCAGTGTTGCTGTAGTGATGTCAAGTGTGTTTCAGTGTTGTTGTAGTGTTGTCAAGTGTGTTTCAGTTTTGTAGTGATGTCAGTGTTTCAGTGTTGATATAGTGATGTCAGAGTGTTTCAGTGTTGATGTAGTGATGTCAGGTGTGTTTCAGTGTTGATGTAGTGATGTCAGTGTGTTTCAGTGTTGTAGTGATGTCAGTGTTTCAGTGTTGATGTAGTGATGTCAGTGTGTTCAGTGTTGTAGTGATGTCAGTGTTTCAATATTGATATAGTGATGTCAATGTGTTTCAGTGCTGATGAAGTGATGTCAGGTTTGTTTCAGTGTTGATGTAGTGATGTCAGTGAGTTTCAGTGTTGTAGTGAGGTCAGTGTTTGAGTGTTGATGCAGTGATGTCAGTGTGTTTCAGTGTTGTAGTGATGTCAGTGTTTTTCAGTGTTGACGTAGTGATGTCAGGTGTGTTTCAGTGTTGTAGTTATGTCAGTGTGTTTTTCTGTGTTGATGTAGTGATGTCAGCGTGTTTCAGTGTTGATGTAGTGATGTCAAGTGTGTTTCAGTGTTAATGTAGTGATGTCAAGTGTGTTTCAGTGTCGTAGTGATGTCAGAGTTTCAGTGTTGATGTAGTGATGTCAGGTGTTTTTCTGTGTTGATGTAGTGATGTCAGCGTGTTTCAGTGTCGATGTAGTGATGTCAAGTGTGTTTCAGTGTTGATATAGTGATGTGAGAATGTTTCAGTGTTGATGTAGTGATGTCAGGTGTGTTTCAGTGTTGATGTAGTGATGTCAAGTGTGTTTCAGTTTTGTAGTGATGTCAGTGTTTCAGTATTGATGTAATGATGTCAGGTTGTTCCATTGTTAACTGATAAGAGAATGATTCCAGTGTTGACAGAGTGAAGTCAGAATGTTTTTAGTGTTGTCATGTTGACGTCATAATGTTTTTTAATCGCTCCAATGACGCCAGTTTGTGTTTTTATTTACCCAATGACGTCACAGTGCATCAGTTTTTAGGCTTTTACTACAAAATAGTGAACTCGTTTATACTACAGGTTGAATTAATTATCTTTACACTGTCCTAAATTTCTAGAATATGTAAATGTTATAACTTTTACACCTAACGCCAATAAAATACCGCAACTCGATCTTACCTCCAAAAAATATCATCATTTGAACTTTAAACGACGCCAAACTAATTTCCCATCAAATATTTCTCAGCGCTAAATTACTCGTATTTTATAACCAAATTTGTCACATCACGATACTCTAGAATTTCTGTAATTTTCTCGACGCAAAAATATTTTTGGCACATATTTTCTTTCGCCAAAATACTGAGAGAAAATTTTTAATCGACGCCAAAATAATTTTCGAATAAGTGCTTCCGGAACGCCAAATAATCGTATAAAGATATTTCCTGACTTTAAATTAATTTTCGAAGAAATATTTATCGACGCCAAAACATCGTACGAGCGAATATTACTCAGGGATAAATTATCTTGCCGGCATGAATTTAGCGACACCATATTATTACACGAACGACGCCAAAATAATATTCCAGTGTTTATTGTGTCACCTTAAGTCACTAATTATTTTTTATGACCACCATTAAGAGTTTTAATTCTTATGATGTTTTAACTGTTGGACACTAACCTTGTTAAGCGTTTAAAGACCCTAGTTGTTGAAGAGCAGTAATAACACTAACGTTATTGTCGTTGTTGTTATAATGTTATTACTGAGCGTCAATAACCAGGGTTCACACCAGTCCATCAACAATCTGGGCATGAGCAATTTGATCAAAACCTAACCTAACCTAACCTAACCTAACCTAACCTAACCTGACCTGACCTGACCTGACCTAACTTAACCTAACCTAACCCAACCTAACCTAACCTTATATTCCAACCACGATACACCTGTACGGGCAAGCAATACCGCCTGGCGTTCACATCCACCCCTTGATTTGACTACTACTAGTACTACTACTACTATAAAACTACTACTACTCATAATAATAATTATAATCTCAAAGTTAGCTCCATTATTCAACACCATACCCTATAATGTTCAGGCGAACGTTAGTCTGGCGAAGCTTACATTTATACCTTAACATTATAGGATAAGGTATAAATGTTAGCTTCGCCAGACTAACGTTCGCCTGGCACACTTTTATGGCACATAACTACAGCTGATCATGTTTTTGTTTACAGCTATGTGGGTCTTTTTACTATATTGAACACAGCTTTTACTCTTCTGTACGCTGCTGTACATGTGTGTGTGTGTGTGTGTGTGTGTGTGTGTGTATTCTACGGTCACGCTCCCTCACACTACGTTGTTTGTAAATAGAGATGATGTGTTCATTCATAAACCTGACTTAATTCATTCACCAAAACATGTGGGTTACTGTGTTGTCTTCACTCAGCGTGTAATTAACAGTATATTTTAGCCTCATTCATAATCCTGACTGATTCATTCAACATTGTTTTACCATCTCGTCTTGTGTCACCTCAACACTAACGCTATTATTATTATTGTTATGATATTATTATTATTATTATTATTATTATTATTATTATTATTATTATTATTATTATTATGATATTACTATTATTATTATTATTATTATTATTAATATTATTATTATTACTATTATTATATTATTATTATTACAGCAGGGATGCAATAGACAACTTTCTTTACCTTTAATTTATTTTAGCAGTTTTCTCTGTTGTGAACTATCTTCTAGATTTAAAAATTTTACCTTTCATCCTTTTCTTACTTTCTTTTTGCCCTTCCCTCCCTTCCTTTCATTCCCCTCCACCATGTCTCTCTTTCTCTCTCTCTCTCCTGGTGTCTCTCTCACTTTTATCACATTATTTCTTTCGTCTTTCTCTTGTTGTTTCACTGTGTTAATACCATCGCTTCATTTATCACTGTGTGGGCTTCCTAAGTAAAAGTATTCCCTCCCTTCACCCCTCATGCATAGCGTCCAACACCACAGCGCCGTTTTAACTTCTCAATATTTTTATTTATTTTCTTTATTTTTTTTATTTTTTGGGTGGGAGGGAGGGGAGGGGAGAGGGGTATCCATTTCAGATTTTTAGTCCTCCACATTTTGAATTTCTTTTCAGTTTGTTCATTCGTATGCCTGATTCTCTTCCCCTTACATCTTTCTGCTTTTTCCCTCTCCCTCTGTGGTCGTGTTCTCTCACAGTTAATCCTCCTCTCTCTACGGTTTGATTAAAGTTTTTAAAGTGATTTGCTGTTGGATCTCACGGACTTCAATTACGCGGTTTGGACGGAGTCAAATAAAGAACTGTAAAAATGCTATGTATGGTATGAATATTTTTTTGTTGCTGTTGTGAAATGCAGACGAATTATATTTATTTATTTTTTTCAAAGTGTGTGAAAGTTTTTCCAGTTAAATAAAAACGCTTCATGTGGTGTAACTATTTTTTCCTTGCTTGGAAATAAAAAAAGTTGTATATGGAGAATACTCTTTCCTTTTTGTTGTTGTTGTTGTTTTTGTTGTTAATTAAAAAAAAAACCAGCGTGTTTAATAACCTTATTATAGAATGGATATCAATTCATTGGAGTCGGTGCAGCGAAGAATGATGAAAATGACTCCGGGACTTAGAAACCTTCCATATCAGGATAGATTAAAGAAACTAAACTTGATTCCCTAGAAAGACGAAGAGTGCGGGGAGATATGATAGAAGTATTTAAGTGGGTGAAAGGAATCAATAAAGGAGATATAGATAAAGTTCTTACAATATCCGAGCAGGATAGGACTCGCAGCAACGGATTTAAGTTGGATAAGTTTAGGTTTAGGAGGGAGATAGGAAGGAATTGGTTCACAAATAGGGTGGCGGACGAGTGGAACAAGCTTAGCAACTTGTAGTAAGTGCTGGAACACTGGAAAGTTTTAAAAGGAGGCTAGATAAATTCATGGATGATAGAGAGTAGTAGTAACTCTCGACAGGAGCTGCCATGCACAGACCAACTGGCCTATTGCAGACTCCTTATTTTCTTATGTTTCTAATGTTCTTCACAGATGGAAGAAAGGTTGTGTTCGCTGACCTTCACGTTCGGTACTTCATTAACCCGGTAGTCATGAATAGGTTACAGTTATTTAAGAAGCTCACCAATAGCGAGTTTTCATATTTTGTGCCTTATAAAGAGAGTCTGTTTATTTTTGGATTCTGCAAGTTTTCGAAATATTTTCTAAGGTGTGCGTTTTCGAAAGTTCCGGGTATGAGGACTAGTTGAAACTCTCAGAAACACAATTTCGTCCCCGAACCCATTGTTTTGTTTATGGTTAAGTTGACCTATTTTATATTATATCAAAGGTCAAAGGTCAATGAAGTCAACCTGAGTTTCTACAATGCGCTCTCCAAATATATACCATTACCCGTTTTCTTTACTGCGCCGTCTACTTCCGGAACGTGCACTGTGCCGGAAACTCAAGTAACACCCAACTCACAGGCATAAAGAAAAAACCTAAGTGTTTCATTTGTGTGTGTGTGTGTGTGTGCAATAATAATAATAATAATAATAATAATAATAATAATAATAATAATTAACGGTTTATTGAAAAAGTTCTGCAGCCGAAGGCTGAAAATATACATTAGACAAAAATGACTCATTGCACACAAAGACATGGGGTGGGTGGGTCGTTTAACAAAAGCTTTCATTACTAAAAGGAGAAGGAACATGAATTGAACATACAAATTATCACAGTTTACAGTTAATGGCCTGGGCTGGTTCTTTGCCATACTCAGTAACTGTGTGAGGTCACGTAGGCCACGTGGTTCAGAAACTCGTCCTTAGATGTTGACATGAAGAACCTTACGTGGTCATGGAAACATCGGGTGGTGTGGTGTTCACGTGGTGCAGTAACTCGTCCGTAGGTGTTGATATGAAGGACCTCACGTGTTCATGGAGACACTGTGTGGTGTGTGGTGGTGTCACAGTACCTCACTCTATGCTAAGTGGTGTTGTGTTATCTCGTAGTCAGGTGTAAAGCCGGCCCACTGTTGTTCCATGGTGGACTGATTAACACCGCCTGGTCAGAAGATGGTGTCCGGTTCCCAGGGGTGCTTATCTCACTGGTGGGTCACTGCTCTCGCTGGTATTATCTAGTGCTGAATTCACTGGCTTAAACGCTGTTCATCACTGTTCAACAATGATCCCACTTTTTTCCGAAACGAAATTGTCACTTTTGATTAATTTGATATCCCGGTGGTGAGGAAGGGTCGGGGAGAGGGACTTGAGGAATGGGCCGAACATTGCCAAGGGGGGCAGCTGCTCAGCAGGAGCAGTGCCTGATAGGTCTCGACCCTCCGGTGGTCAAGGATGTCTGTGTTCGTGTGCGTGTGTGTGTGTGTATCCAATATATTTCAATCTCTGTAAAGACTGTGAATGTTCAAATGATATTGGGTCCTGGCTAGTATGGGATCTAGATACAGTATACTAAAAAAAAAAATTATCGTGAAACAAAAAACGGAGTCTGCGTATATAAATATTTGAGAATGATTGCGGAGATAATTTAGCATCGAAACATAATTATAGAACCAAAAAATAATATTAGTAAGAAGACTAATAAAGAAATATACGCTACATAAAGAGATTGAAAAATAAAAGAAATCAGTAAACAGGAATTATAAATTAGAATAAAACACAAAATGGAGAGAAACGAAGAGAAAACTAGAAAAACTGACTTAAAAAAAAAACATAGAAAATGGAGATAAACAGAAGAAAACGTAACTTAACAAAGAGAAAATGATGACAAATAGGAAATTAAAAATAAAGCAAAACAAAGAAAACGGGAAAACAAAGAAAACGTGATCTAAGGGATGGGGGGGGGACCTGAGCTGGAGAAATTTGCTTAATATACAGAGCGTTGCCTATAAATAGTCTCGTCTTAAGGAAGCCCGAGAACTTGGGTGGGGGAGGGGGGGAGAAGGAAGGAGGTTTAGTGCAAAGTTTAATTGTTTCAACTTTTATGTTCCTCAAAAGTTGTGTGTGTGTGTGTGTGTGTGTGTGTGTGTGTGTGATAGTTGGTTGCTTTATGTGTGTTTGTTTCCTGTGCGTATTTTTGATTGCTTATTTTTTTTGCGTCTCTTTCTCTCACTTTGCCTTTACTGTGTATCTATCATTCTCACGTCTACCTCATCTGCATAAACCTCGTAAGTAATGGTGAAATGTATTATTAACTTTTTCCCTTATAATATCAAATTACGCGGGGCACTATAGTCATCCTTTTGTCATACCGTCTTCAACTTGAGTATAATTAGCTTTCTTATCTCTGCAGAAACCTTGATAAAGTGGTTCTCGTAACATTCATTATTTTCATGGAATCCCAAATTTCGTCATGATGCTTCGCTGAACTACAGGCGCCTGTGTCATTTTCTCGGTGTTTTTGTCATTTGTTGTTGTTGTATGACGCTTGTCCTGTAATATGGTACTATTCTTTTATCAGGAGGATTTTTGTAAGTATTTAATAAATTCCTCAGTAATTAGTGCGATGTATTTATTCTGTTTGTTTTCTTTTAGTGTGGTGTTGTAATTCTACTCTCTCAGCTGTTAGGTAACCGAATCATCACTTAGCTATCTTGTTAGTGCAACTTCTCACTCCTCCCTCTCTCTCCTCTTTGTTTGAGTAATTACACCGGCACCTGGATCTTATACCTTGAGCTCTGTTCATTTTTAAGTCCATATATAGCTTCTCTTACAACCACTAATGAAAGTGACGGCACAGGGTCATCAACTGCTTGTTTGAACGTTCTTTGAGTTGGGTGTTGTGAGTCGAGGATGTTTAATAGGAGACCTTAAAGAAGTCTTCCCGAGAGTTAATTACCCGTTTTCACACCTGTTGTCACCTCCATCATCTGTCTTCTTCCATGTTGAGTCGAAGGTCTGGTGTTATTATCTTCATATACTCTTAAAACATTCTCTTCTTCTACCTCACCTTTTATTATTCTTTATTTTACGTAACTCCTTCTTCACAACTTAATTCTTCGTTCTTCTATTTGCTCTTATTTCTGTCTTCCTCATTCATCCTATGCAGCAACAATATTCTTGCCTTTCTTCTCCGAGGTGTTTGTATCCGTCGTCTTGGCAGTAGTTCAAGTTTCCTCCTGGCATCACACCTATGGACTCTGGCAGCCTCTTGAATGTCCTTCTCTGTCTTGCCCTTACCAAAAGATATCCACAACTTCCTCTGCCTCTATTAAATACAGTACACGCACCCCAAAAGGTATCATGATGGTGAGGTTCGATAAATTTCAACTTGAACACTGCGGCTCCTGTTGTCTCGGTAGGGGAGTCAAAATCCTACGTCCGTTGTGTCATAATTTTTTCTCACAAAATCGTTTAAGATACTTTTCAGAGCCAATGTATGTTAAATTGAAAGCTGTTTATAAAAAACGCTAAGGAACCATAGGTAAAATTGGATCATCTGAAGATTATTAACTCCACAGTTAGGTTAGGTTAGGTTAGGTTAGGTTAGGCTAGGTTAACGTTAGTGTGTTTAATTACATATCAGATGAAGTAACCTGGGGAGTCTAATCTTCGGGTTATCCATAACGTTTTAGTCTATGGGATCAAGCCAGACGAAGGTGTGACTATCTTCTGTATGTGATGGCGCTCCTTCCCGGTATGAAAGAAGAAGGAATCTGGGAAGTTGTTTAAATCAGACGCGGAGACTAACTTAGTCAGCAGTAGACCTACAGAGACCATCTTAGCAGTAGACCCACGGAGACTAACTTAGTCATCAGTAGACCTAAAGAAACGATTTTAGTGAACAGTAGACCCACGGAGACTAACTTAGTCAGCTGTAGACCTACAGACACGAACTTAGTCAGCAGTAGAGCTACAGAGACTATTTCAGTGAGCAGTAGACCCACGGAGACTAACTTAGTCAACAGTCGACCTAAAGAGACGATTTTAGTGAACAGTAGACCCACGGAGACTATCTTAGTCAGCAGTAGACCTACAGAGAATATCTTAGTGAGCAGTAGGCCCACGGAGACTAACTTAGTCAGCAGTAGACCTACAGAGACCATCTTAGCAGTAGACTCACGGAGACTAACTTAGTCAGCAGTAGACCTACAGAGACTATTTTAGTGAGCAGTAGACCCACGGAGACTAAATTAGTCAGCAGTAGACCTACAGAGACTATTTTAGTGAGCAGTAGACCCACGGAGACTATCTTAGTCAGCTGTAGACCTACAGACACGAACTTAGTCAGCAGTAGACCTACAGAGACTATTTTAGTGAGCATTAGACCCACGGAGACTAACTTAGTCAGCAGTAGACCTACAGAGACTATTTTAGTGAGCAGTAGACCCACGGAGACTATCTTAGTCAGCAGTAGACCGACAGAGACTATCTTAGCAGGAGACCTACGGAGACTAACTTAGTCAGCAGTAGACCTACGGAGAATATCTTAGTCAGTTGTAGACCCACGGAGACTATCTTAGTCAGCAGTAGACCTACGGAGACTATCTTAGTCAACATTAGACCTACGGAGACTAAGGTAGTCAGCAGTATACCTACGGAGAATATCTTAGTCAACAGTAGACACACGGAGACTATCTTAGTCAACAGTAGACCCACGGAGACTATCTTAGTCAACAGTAGACACACGGAGACTATCTTAGTCAACAGTAGACACACGGAGACTATCTTAGTCAACAGTAGACCTACGGAGACTAAGGTAGTCAGTAGTAGACCTACGGAGAATATCTTAGTCAGTAGTAGACCCACGGAGACTATCTTAGTCAACAGTAGACCCACGGAGGCTATCTTAGTCAACAGTAGACCCACAGAGACTATATTAGTCAGCAGTAGACCTATGGAGACTATCTTAGTTAACAGTAGACACACAGAGACTATCTTAGTCAACAGTAGACCCACGGAGACTATCTTAGTCAACAGTAGACACACGGAGACTATCTTAGTCAACAGTAGACCCACGGAGACTATCTTAGTCAACAGTAGACACACGGAGACTATGGAGACAATCTAGTTAGACAGTTAGTAGACACACGGAGACTATCTTAGTCAACAGTAGACACACGGAGACTATCTTAGTCAACAGTAGACCCACGGAGACTATCTTTGTCAACAGTAGACACACAGAGACTATCTTAGTCAACAGTAGACCCACGGAGACAATCTTAGTCAACAGTAGACACACGGAGATAATCTTAGTCAGCAGTAGACACACGGAGACTATCTGAGTTAACAGTAGACACACGGAGATAATCTTAGTCAATAGACCCACAGAGACTATCTTAGTCAACAGTAGACCCACGGAGACTATCTTAGTCAGCAGTAGACCGGAGACTATCTTAGTCCCTTAGTCAGCAGTAGACCTACGGAGACTATCTTAGTCATAGTAGACCCACGGAGACTATCTTAGTCAGCAGTAGACACACGGAGACTATCTTAGTCAACAGTAGACCCACGGAGATAATCTTAGTCAGCAGTAGACCTACGGAGAATATCTTAGTCAACAGTAGACACACGGAGACTATCTTAGTCAACAGTAGACCCACAGAGACTATCTTTGTCAACAGTAGACACACAGAGACTATCTTAGTCAACAGTAGACCCACGGAGACAATCTTAGTCAACAGTAGACACACGGAGACTATCTTAGTTAACAGTAGACACACGGAGACTATCTTAGTCAACAGTAGACACACGGAGACTATCTTAGTCAACAGTAGACCCACGGAGACTATCTTAGTCAACAGTAGACACACAGAGACTATCTTAGTCAACAGTAGACCCACGGAGACAATCTTAGTCAACAGTAGACACACGGAGATAATCTTAGTCAGCAGTAGACACACGGAGACTATCTGAGTTAACAGTAGACACACGGAGATAATCTTAGTCAACAGTAGACCCACAGAGACTATCTTAGTCAACAGTAGACCCACGGAGACTATATTAGTCAGCAGTAGACCTATGGAGACTATCTTAGTCCATAGTAGACCCACGGAGACTATCTTAGTTAGCAGTAGACACGCGGAGACAATCTTAGTCAGCAGTAGACACACGGAGACTATCTTAGTCAACAGTAGACCCACGGAGACTATCTTCGTCAACAGTAGACCCACGGAGACTATCTTTGTCAACAGTAGACACACGGAGACTATCTTAGTCAGCAGTAGACACACGGAGACTATCTTTGTCAACAGTAGACCCACGGAGACTATCTTTGTCAACAGTAGACACACGGAGACAATCTTAGTCAACAGTAGACCCACGGAGACTATCTTTGTCAACAGTAGACCACGCGGAGAGTGTCGGGATCAACTATACTGTAGATTCAAAAACTATCTCGAAGGTTCGCTGAAGTGGATGAAAGTCTCGAGGATCAGAAGCGCATCAAAACAAAGTTTGGGAATCAAATAACGAGCTCGTTAGGCTGTGTAGCGACCGCTGGGGTGTGCGGGGGTCATCGGGCGATCAAAGAGTTGTGTCAATATGGGGGTTCACATGAAAGGCGACTCGTCAGAATCAAATACCCACAGTGGCAGTGTGTCGGAGCCTCAGATCAACTCGAATCAGCTTCATATGTTTAAATACAAATTAATGAGTATATCCGAATCCACCGAAGCTTTGCAGATGATTTACAGATGAAAGGAAACTGTGCCACCACTAATCATGAGTTAAATAAACTGGGTAAATAACCCCAAATCGACCTAATAAGGACCACGAAAATGACCGTGAGAAGGACAAATACGGTTCAAAAAGGCTGAAAATTTCTGAGTGAAAATTAAAGGTAAAAGATCATACAATTCGTGAGCAGCCAGAGAGCACGCCACACTGGCTCTGTTGGCTGAGCACACACACAATTTTCTTGGTGGGTCGTGGAGTGGGGGTTGATTGGGGGTCGGGAGCCGTGGAGCGGTGCCGAGCGTGGCCAACTGGTGTTTGCCCGGCTACACACACCACCTGCCGACACGCAGCTAAGTAGCGAAATGTTGCAAAAGTGAGTGGAAGGGATTGAGCGAGGGATAGCAAGGAGCTGAAACGAGGGAGGTGGAGGAGTGATGTAAGGAGAAGAGGAAGAACAAGAATAAGAAAATAAAGAAGAAAAGAGGAAGAGTAAGAAAGAACGGGACGTTGTTTTTCTGTCTGCCTCCATTTCAAGTCATTTACGTATGATTGTCTTCCATTTATAGTTCATTACCACGAGCTTGTGGAACGAGAGAGAGAGAGAGAGAGAGAGAGAGAGAGAGAGAGAGAGAGAGAGAATTTGTTTGTTCATCTGTGTGTCTATATCTTTATTTTTTTCTCCGCTGTTTATAATTTACAATATATAACTTCTCATCACGGCCTTAGGGAAGGATGTATGAAGAGAAGGAGGAAGAGACAACAGGAATAAGAATAAAAAAGAAGAGAAAACAAGAAGACATTATTTTAATGTACCTGTATCTGTTCTCTATCTGCACTTCAAAACAGTTGAGCATCACCACTTCCTGCTGTTCCAAGACTGAGTGAGGTAAGTGGCAGTGTGAAGGAGTGCAGAATCAATAACCAACTAGAAGTGGAGAGAGAGAGAGAGAGAGAGAGAGAGAGAGAGAGAGAGAATAGGTTTAATAATTACAACGTGTCCATCAACATATCTTTCCATCAGGTAACCACAACAAGAGACGACATCTTCTGTGTCCCTAAACTTTCTAGTATTAAAGTATAAATAAGATAACTTTAATAAAAGACTTCACATACAAAAGGGATTAAAAAATATGATAAACCCTTTTCGTACGCCGTGAAAACACAATTTTGAGGTAACCGGGAACCTAGTTATGCAAATGACATTTCGTGCATAATTCGCCGACCAGGAGAGTGAAGCCCAAGTTGGACGGCTTGTAATTAAATCTTTGATAATTCGAACACGTTCAATGTTAAAACTTGCTGTTCCTGATACTCTGAGCAACTTCCAGGCCTGAGGCCGGCAGTCGTAGAAACATGAGGAAAGTTGGATCAGCGTGCAAAACATTTAAGAGCAAGATAAGGCAACTTCATCAACACAACAGACAACCCGAGTGAAGGTTCAGGTCGGGTCGCGGTATGTTAACAGTCTTTGAAAGACTCGGTAAAACTTTCGTCATTTTTTCCCCATTAGAGTCATCCTCCAAAATACAGAATATAGTTTTTATAAACATTTAATTATACTATAATTACGTATTTTAGCGATAGTCATGTTAAATTATTATAAATTAGAATTCTTTTTTAAGCCAATGTGGCGTCATGTGACCTCAGTCGTTACAATGCCAAGTGTACTCGACTACAGTACATGTAATGAGTCGATCAAATCAAGAGGCCAGATGACAGCATACGAGATCTTCCGTAAGACAGACTAAGTTGCTTGATAATAGTAACAGATCAAATGTTTATATCAACAGCTTTATACAACACTGTGCAGTCACTCATTAAACTATCTATACTTGGGAGGGCCAATGAATTTCAAAATGAAGACTGCCACTCCTGTTGACTCGATAGGGTTGTCAAAATCCTTCGTCCGTTGTGTCATAATTTTTTTTTTATATATATATAATTTTTTGAGCTACTGTATGTAGGTTATGTATCTAAGCTACTGTGCCGAGTAGCAACCTTGTATATAAGCAACTGTGCCGAGTAGCAACCTTGTATATAAGCAACTGTGCCGAGTAGCATCTTTGTATATAATTACGTGGCAACACTGCACGTGTTATGTGGCAACATTGCCCAGAGGCTGCCATATGGCAAGGCAGTCTTAGTCTGACTCTGTGGGCCGTGCATGGCACACGCTAGTCACCACTTGTATTTCTCCTATCCGTTAATAAATGGACTTCAGTGTTACCCGGTGTTTCCCTACCCATCACTGCCTTCTTCAGGGAACACTTGGAACCTTCATGGCGCAGTGAGTAGGATCTGTGGACTTACAAGTGTGTGAACAATGGCCAGTTAGCCGGCGATGTGCGACTGCCGGCGATGTGTGCGTCGACTCTTAGTGTGTTGTGTTGTGTTGCGTTGTGTTTTGCCGCGACGTGCAGTAATGCGCCGTCACAGTGCGTTTTAGTGACGGTGGCAGTGTTAGTGTCAGTGTATTAGTGTGTCTAGAGCTGAGAGTTGAGCATTGGCCTGTCTTTTGTGGTACCCACGGAGCACGCAGGCGTACACCCTTCTCGTGTGACATCCGGGGAGACATTGACGTTCTTGCCTCCCCAGCGGCCACCACACTCTGCTCTCTGAGACACATACACACACACACGCACGCACGCACGCACTCACGGACAGAACAGTGGACTCTATGCATTATTTCTGCACTGTTTATGTCATATATATGTGGTTCGAGATGATGAGGCGCCACTTTATATACTAAACAGCGCAGTTCAAGCATACTAAGATGGGCGGTAAGAAGGGACAACGTCAAGATGGGAGACACGACTCCCCACCACCATCCCCTCCACAGGGCGCAGACTCGCATCCACCACCTCCAGCGACGGACATTGCCACAATTCTGAGGTGGATGGACGACAGGGACGAGAGACGCAGAGAAATGGAACTTCAGAGGGAGGAGACACGAAGAGAGGAGGAAAAGTCGCGTTTTGATGCACTATTGGCGACCCTGGCGCTAACCCACCCTCCCTCACTCGCAGGTTTCGCGCACCAAGGCGCCAATATCCTCCCTCCTCCACCACACCAGCGTCCTCCAGGCACTCTTGCTACTCCAACAGCTCCCAAGGCATCTGTTCAACCCCCACCCGCCCTCTCACCAGACGTCACGTTTCAGCTTTTTTGTGAGTGGAGGCGGCGGTGGACAGATTACTCCACGATGGTGCACCTTGACAGCATGCCTCCAAACAAACAGCTCATCCAACTGCGGATGTGTTTGTCGCTGGAGACCCAGAGAGTTTTGGAGCACACGTTGCAAGTGCCTCTCGATTCTACATCTTCAGTGACGGATGTGCTCGACCTTTTACAGGAGCACGTTAAGGGTCGGAATAACGAGGCTTTGCGTCGTCGCGCCTTCACCAGCTGCAAGCAGGCAGAAAATGAATCCTTTGACGACTTTTTTGTACGTTTAAAGAGTTTGCCGGAGGAGATCGGCGCCTGGAAGGCGCACAGCCAGGAATGTGAGGAAGTCTGGATCAAGCACGGGATCTTGACAGGTGTCAGGCAAGAAGAGTTGGTGCAGCGACTCATCCCCCTGGACGCTTCCTCCACACTCCAGGTGGTAGTGACTGAATGTCGGTCATACGAGGCCACCAAGTCCGCCAACTCTGCCTTACAGGCCCCACCTGCTGTGAGAGCTATCTCAGAGTACAAGAAGGGTAAGAAGGCGGCCAACAACGTGAAGGCTGCCGCACGTTCATCCACGACTACGCCTAGTGCTTCCTGTGGCAGCTGTGGAAAGCAGCATGGCCCCAAGACATGCCTGGCCAACGACGCACTGTGTCGTGGATGTGACCGTAAGGGTCACTGGTCTAACACAGACAGGTGCCCTGCACGAGGCCACAAGTGTCAAGCCTGCGGTCGCTATGGACACTACGACAAGTGCTGCCGCCAACCCAAGCCCAAAAGCCCGAGATGAGGAGGAAAGCAGCGCACTTCCCTCGGGGTGGTTCGCACGCAGCCCCCTTCAGATGGCCCACGCAGCCCCAAGCAGCAGCTGAGTCACATCAGGAGGGTGGAATCGACCACACGCCCCAGGGCTACCCCTTCCCCTACCATCCGCGTCGCCGTCACACACGGTGATGTGTCGGGTCACATTGGGGTGATACCGGACACCGGCACTGATACTACGGTGATTGGGTTGAACCACCTCCAGAAACTGGGCCTCACCAAACGCGACCTGGGACCACCGCCGCAGCTGCTGTACTACAATGCGGACGGTTCCCAGATGCCGGACGCTGTGGGCTCCTTTCAAGTGGAGATCACCTACGGCGACAGGTCGTATCACGGATGGATCGACGTGCAGCCTACTCTCGCTACACCCTTGTTGTCGTGGGAGCACTGCAAGGAGTTAGGCGTGGTGCCCAGAGACTTTCCTGAGCAGATCCCAGCTGCTCGGTACACCGCCAGCAGGGTGCGTGAATCAACGAGCGACGTGCCTGGCTGCTTCCTCTTCACAGCGAGACGTCTCCTTCAGCCTCAAGGGCCTACTTCCTGAAGGAGTACTCGGGTGTGCTGGTGACAAAGGAGGCCCTACTGACCGCGCCACTGA